CGATATTTGAACCTAGAGAGCTAGTTCTAGAAGCTGTGAGCTCAACCACTCTGCTAAACTGCCTTGAAAACATATTTAGTGGACATTATTACTGTACCAGGAGGTGGAATAAAATGTTGAACAAAAAAATAGACCCAGTCTTGGTCCTCAAGGAGCAGATAATCTGGTGGGGGAGACTTCTGATCAACTTACTACAAACCAAAGTAAAAGTGAAACTGAGCCTGAGACCCCAGAGAGGAACTGCATTGACCAAGAGAGCCATTTATTTAAAAAAAGAGAGAGAGAGAGGGTGTGACTCGGGAGGGCATGGGGCTGGGCTAATGAAGGGTCTCTAGGCCCAGAAGGAAGAGGCTTGTCTCTATCCTAAAAAACAATGGGAAACCACTCAGGGACTTGCAGCAAGGCATTGGAAGTGCGAAGGGTGGGCCAGACTGGATGCAGGGAACCTAGTCATGAGCTACTGTCTAAGTGGGAAATAATGGTGGTCGGGGAGATGGAGAGAATTAGAAGGCGTTGTAAGATTCTTAGGAGGTAATATTGTAAGGATATGGTGAGGAATTGGAGGTTGGGGAGTGGGCATGGAAGGAGAGGGAGAAATAAAGGGTGTATGTCTCCTTGAATAGTGTTGTCATCATTGAGTTGGAAGGAAAGCTGACGGGACCAATAGTTAAGCAGTAGAACAGATAATCTTGTCAATTGACTGGATATCAGCTGCTAAAGAAGATGGAGGGCTGTGTTTTGAAAGACATTACTTGATGTAACTGTGTTTGCCACTAGCCACACATGGCTGTTTAAACAAATTAAAATGAAAATAGAAAATCCAGTTCCTTGACTAGCTATATTAGAACTATTTAATAGCCACATGTGGCTAGCAGCTACCATACTGGACAGCACAGATATAAAACATTTTAATTGCTGCAGATGGACATTCCGATTGATAATGTTGTTCTAACAATCGGCATTTATTTGATGTTTTGCAGTAAACAAAGTCTGGTCATCTCCATCTTTGCCTTTAATCCAGTGTGATGTTGTCTTGGTTTTCTAAGAATTCATGACAGTGCTGTAAACACCAACATCTGCCATGTGCTGAGCTGTAAGGTGGTATCACTCAAAATGTGGACTGCGACTGGTATCCGTTCATAAACTTTTAGTACCTGCTCAAGACAATCTATGTACAGAAATGAGACTAAGCTTTCAGAAAGTTGTCTAGCAAACTGACATTGCCATAGCATTTTACTGTATTTTACAAAAGTTATCAGTCTGCAATGGAATGGAAATTTAAAATGTTGGTCCTTCATTACTGATGGTGGACTTGAGGCACCAACCAAGGCCTAAGGAGGAGCTGGACGTGGTTCCTGCCCTCAGAGCTCAGGTAATGATAGAAGGAGCCAGAGTTAATTAAGGTCTATTTGAGTTGCACAAACATTGACATTCAAACTTGATATACATCTGAAAATGACTCAAAAACACATACGGACATTCATTCACTCATTTATTCATCTAGTATTGACTGAATGCCTACTATGTGCCAAGCACTGTACTAAGCAAAAGGAGACACTAGTGAACAAAACAGACAAGGCCCTCACCCTTCTGAGCTCACATCCAGTAAGACAGACTATAAGCAAGTTCACCAAATAAAAATAATGATCTCAAAGAGTACTAAGTTCTGTGAGGGAAATAAAAAAGGGATGGGATAGCCACTGCAAGACAGGGTCCACTCATTTATGGGGTGGTCAGGGAAGGACTCTCCAGGAAGATGCCATTTGAGCTGAAAATGGGAAAGAGCCAGTCATGAGCTGAATGAAAGGAACAGCATTCCAGGTAGAGTCAGCACAAAGGTCTGAAGGTGGGAGTGCATTGACTTGTGTGAGTCATAAAAGGCCAATTGGCTAAATGTAGGGAACATGGCGCAGAGTAGTAGAAGCTATAGGGGTAGGCAGAGGCTAGATCATGTTGCCCATATGAAGGAGTCAGGATTTTATTCTAAGTGCATTGTAGTGTTTAACCAGGGACCAAGGCAACATGATTTTTAAAAAAAAAATTTATTAAGGTATTATTGACATGATTTGGTTTTTAAAAGATCTCCCTGTTATGTGGAGAATGGATTGGAGGGAGGCAAGGGTAGAATCAGGGAGACAAGTGGGAGGCTGTTGTAGACATCCAGCTGAGAGAAGATGGTGAGCTGAACTAGGTGGTGGCAGCAGAGGTGAAGAGAAGTGTAGAGAAGGTGAATTACAGGGAGCGCCTGCTGTCCATCGACTGGAACAAGGGCTTTCACTTGGGATGACCGGATGGACTCCAGGAGGCTGATGAGGCCCTTGTAATTGTATCAAAAAAATTGTGTTTATGTGCTTATAAGAGGGGTTTTGTGTTTATGAGAGGTATACCTTCCATTAGGATCTTTAGTTAAAGAAATAACAGCTAGGAAATAACAGTCAATATGGTGGTAGGTGTTCTTCATTCACAAGCCTCTGTGACTGAACCCAGGGTATGAAACTTTCCACCATCACAAATACCATTAAAAGACATCAAGGCTCTAATAAAACACAAAATGGAAAATAATAAGTGTTGGCAGGGATGTGGAGAAAGTGGAACCTTTATACATTACTAGTGGGACATGTAAAATGATGCAGCCACTCTGGAAAATAGTTTGGTGGTTCCTCAAAAAGCTAGAAATAGAATTGTATCACCCAGCAATTACACTTTTAGGTATATACCCAAAATAACTGAAAACAGGGACTCACATATATCCTTGTATGTCAATGTTCATAGCAGCATTATTCACAACAGGCAAAAGGCGGAAACAACCCAAGTGCCCATCAACAGATGAATGGATAAACAAAATATGGTGTATATGTACAACAGAACATTAGTCAGCCATAAAGAAGTTCTGATACACACAACATGCATGAAGCTTGAAAACATTTATGCTAAGTTAAATAAGCCAAACACAAAAGGACAAACATTGTATAATCTAGAATAGGCAAATTCACAGAAACAAAAAGTAGATGAGAGGTTCCCAAGGACTGGGGAGGCAAGAGAACAGGGGTTATCATTTAATGGTTATACAGTTTCTGTTCCAACTTATGAAAAAGTTTTGAAACATGTAATAGTGATGGTTGTACAACATTGTGAATGTAATTAATGCCACTGAACTGTACACTCAAAAATTGTTAAAATCACACACACAACGACTGAACCTACCTTTGCAGTACAAATTACAACATTATTGCAAGCAGAAAGTGCTGATAGGGGAAGAGGAAATAGGTATAAAGGAGGATGGATAGTCCAGGAGGACTACTTGTAGGAGGTAATGTTGGGAAAAGTTGCTTAGAGGAGATAATCATGAGTTGTGTTTAAGAGTAAGATTTTCACAAGAAGAAACGAGATGAAAAGTTCCTGGTGAACTCTCAAGCCAACTGCCCGGGTTGTAATCTTCGCTTTGTTATTAACCGCTTCTATGCCTCAATCTCCTAATCTGTAAACTGGCAATAATAATGTATCTTCTGCTACAGTTGCTGTGAGGATTAAATTAATTAATATATGTGAAAGTATTTAGATCAGTACTTGGCGCATAGCAAATGTTATGTAAGTGTTAGCTATTCTTATTTTTGTTTTTTTTTCTGAAAATGTTAATTGTAAAAAAAACGTAAGAAAATAAAAAGCTCTTAAAATGCTACTACCCAATGGCAATCATAGCTAACCATCTATTGTTATTTTCTTCCACAGTTTCTTGTACCTAAATACGCACACACAAGAGTTTATCAACGCACCTCTTTAGACTTTCTCCCTCGCAACACAAACATTCTTACAACCTTCCCACTGCTTTCTGACCGCGAAGATGAAGGAATTTGACGAAACTAAAGTCCCGCCCCTTGATAGCGTCACACGAAACCACGCCCCAGATTGCCTCAGGCGCTTCTTAGAGTTCGAGAGCGTGGGCGGCAGGCGCTTCCGCAGAACGGAAGTGATGTAAATACATGCGCGGTGACGACGAGGAGATCGCGGAGAAGTAATGGCAGGGCTGAGCGCAGGCCTAGTGTCCGGAAGTGGCTGCTGCGGCAACGTGTTCCAGGAGTTGGGCTTAATCGGGACGATAGGCGAAGATGACGACGTGCCGGTGGAGTCCGAGTCTGACTCCGGAGACGAGGAGGAGGAGGTATGAGCCGATAGGGGTTCAGGAGCGCGGCGGTGGACCGATTTCCCTGTCTCCTTTCCGCGTGATTCTTCAGGCCCCTGTCTGCAACTCCCAGCATCCCTGTCAGGCATGTTAAGTGTTCGTTGGAAGAGTTTCACCGGGGCCCCAAGATCGTCCTGAGTAGCTCGCCACTAGCTTTTCCTCATCTTCACACCTGTGGCCGTGGCATTCCGTGTCGCTTTGGAGAACTCAACACCCATTCACTGAACTGATATGTAATCCAGGCGCTGTGTAATAGAAATCCAGAGGTGAAGCCAGCCCTGGTTCCTGCTCAGGGAGCCACGGTTATGCATTCGTTCGTTAAGCCAGTATTTATTGAATACTTAATATGTGTTGCACTTAATTTTGAGCTTTCAGAACATAGCAATGAACAAGATAGGTAAGAACACCACTCTCACGAAGCTTATATTGGGGTGGGGGGTTACAGACATTACGCAGTATGGCAGTTAAAAAAGGAACAGTGTCATGGAAAAGGTGCTACCCCTTCAAACATACAGCTCTGGTGTTCTCCCCTCTGTGGCCTTGGCTGCTTACTGACATCACCAATGGCCTCATCAAATTCAGCTTCTCTGAAGTTCAGTTCTGAACTCCCTCATCCCCCCAGCCTGCTCGGTTTCTACCCAGTAACCCTGGAATCATCTTTGACAGCTTCTTCCTCTACACCCCCACTGTTCTGCAAGCTAGCTCAAGAATCTCTATCTTCTCCCTCTCTCTCCACCTAAAAACTCTCCCACTGTGGTTCAGGCCACTTCCATCTTGCTCCTGGATACCTAAATCCTAACATACATCCTCTCCAGCTCTGTCTCCTGCCCCCACTAATGTATTTTCCACTTAGCTACCAGAATGCAGTGGTCATTTCTTGAATGGAAAACCATCATAAAAAAGGACTGAAGCCAGTATGACAAATGATAATGCAAAACTGCAAGTATGGCATGCTATACAACTATGGGTAGCTAAACTATGTACCTAAGAAATGATATGCAGTCATTACTAATAATAAAGTTTAGGGTGAGAGGTCTTTTGAAATCATTTAACTCAAGTTAAGAAAAAAAGAGCAGTATAATAAGGGTGGGGAAGAAGAAAGGAGGTATTATGATTAGCATGTGTAATGTGGGGGGTGGGGGAAAGGGGAGGACTGTGTAACACAGAGAAGACAAGTAGTGATTCTACAACATCTTACTACGCTGGTGGACAGTGACTGTAACGGAGTTTGTCAGGGGGACTTGGTGAAGGGGAGAGCCTAGTAAACATAATGTTCTTCATGTAATTGTAGATTAATGATAACAAACAAGCAAAAAGGAGCAGTATAGCACTTTGTAAATCTCAGGGTATTTTCTCCTGTTTATCCTCCTGAAGCCATAGTTCAACCAGTCCTCCTCCCTTTCCAATTTCCAAATATACGGGTTTTTAAAGTTATCTTTTTGTTACTGTTCTAACTTAACTGAATTTTCATAAGAGAACAGAGTGTATAATACTGATTCTTTGAAACTTATTGAAGATTTGCTTAAAGGCCTATGACATCAGTTTTTGCAGCTATTCCATGTGTGCTCAGAAAGAATGCACACTCTATGTTCATTGGAATGAAGCTTATTAATTGTGCTATTCAGATTTTCTACAGACTTAGTCCTATTTTGTCTGCTTGATCTGTCAGTTACTGAGAGAGGTGTGTGAAAATCTCCCATGACAATTTTAGATTGTTCAGTTTCTTCTTGTCATCTTGACAATTTGTCTTGTATATTTCTCTTATGTGGTAACTTCATTTTCTAGTCCCATAGTCACCCTGCTTCTCCCTCTTCCCAGGGGCCTATTGTGCTGGGCAGAAAGCAGAAAGCCTTGCAGAAGAACCGCAGTGCTGATTTCAACCCTGACTTTGTTTTCACCGAGAGGGAGGGGATGTACGATGGCAGCTGGGCCATGGCTGACGTCATGAGCCAGCTCAAGAAGAAGGTGAGACCAACAGTCACAGGCTGTTTCAGGCTGTGCACTGTTAAGGTTAGGCAGTGGGTTTCACGACCTAACCCTGACCTCACTGCCTTTTGCCATGTGTTTACATTCAGCAGATAACTGGAACTCCTTTGGAAATAAATGATATAGTTTTGGATGGGGTGGGGAGGAATGGTCAGAAATAACTCATAGTCTTGGTTAAAATCAAAGTATAAAATGTTGCAAAATAGATTTATTGCAGCCTTTAGTTACGAATGCATTCATTGATCTACAGATGATATTTTAAAGTATTAGAAATATCTGATTTCCTTTATTAGGAAATGGTCCATGACAGCTTTTCCTGGAGAAGGGGGATGGTAAACTCAGACCAACTTCAGTGTATATATTAAAAGAAACCCTTCTTGATTCTATAGACATTAAAATGTGAAAAAAAAGGCTCAGAGGAATGATGGTTTAGAAATATCTAAGATGACATGTAAATTGCTTTAAAAAATTGCTATGTTAAAATGGTCCCTTTTCTAGGTGCTCCTTCTTTGTTTTAAATATTAAGAAGAAATTTTTGTTACATCAGTTTGTAAGAAAGTACAGTCTATCAGGTACCCTTGGTAGTGGTGTTTTTGATAGCTAGACTGCGCCCCACAGATACTGTCATTCTCTGTCACTTGCCAGGTGATTTCACATGGCATCACTGTTTAGGGTCTCTGGTTCCCGCACAGCATAGCCAAAGCTGCCACAAATGTCATTGTCATCTGCTTGTTTGCCATAATCCTGTGCTTTTTTTGAATCTGGTAAACAAGCTAGAAAATGCATCAAAATTATTTTCCAGGCCATGCACTTCAAAGAGAAATAGTACCTGTTTCAGAGCAGTTTCATACAGACTCTGCTAATCGTTGTTCTGATTCTGATTGAAATGAATCAGCATTGCCTTTTTAAGGTCATCTTAAGAGGATTTTGTGTGTGTGTGATTTGTTTTTTCCTTTTCAGTATTTTTTCAGACACTATCAGATAAATTTTCCTTTTTCAAATTAATTATGAAGTGTTTGTTCCCCTGCTCCATATTTTGATGAGCATTCATTCCAGGTTCATCTAATAAATACTACATTTGTTCCCAGCTCCTGGCATACAGACTCCTGTGTAATTAAAGACTTGGTTTTACAAAGCTGACAGTCTAGCAGGGTAGAAAAAATAAGCAACCAGTTGCACAGGTTTATTGTAGTTGTGGTGGACGTTACCACAGGGCAGGGTGATTGAGCATGCATAATGGGGGCCTGCTATTACTTATCTTCCTAAAGTTTTGGCAGTCTCCAGCATTACCTGAATTTGCTTATTTCGACATTGAATCAATAGGCTAAATTATGTCTGATTGGCAGGAGGAAGGGTTTTTCTAAGTAGCATTCAGATACAAATGTGACATCTTTTGGTGATTATATTCTGAGTAATAAACACATTCTAAAATGTGGATGTTCTTATTGGCTACAGGTAATTTAAAGTTTTTTCACAATTGACCACTTATTTAATACATATTTTTGCTATGAATAATCTACAGATCAGTTAATCTATCCAAGGACAGACAAGCCTTTTCTGTATGAACATTTGAGACCCTACCCTCAGGGGAACCTTGCTTTATTTCTTCCCCATACATATAAATGTTTCTCATGTCTTTATTTTTATTTGCAGAGGGCAGCCACTACATTAGACGAGAAGATAGAGAAAGTGCGCAAGAAAAGGAAAACAGAGGTGAGAAAGCAAAGTGGTTTCTCTTTGTAGTTAAGCCCTGAGCCTTACTCAGCATGGCGCCACCCTGTCCCTTTGAGCCTGGGCTGGAGTGGGGCTGGTGCAGGGAGGCTTCTCTGAGCCTGTTGTTCATTCACTGAGAAGCCACACAGCATTCGGCCCAGACTGGAGAGCATAATGTTGCTCTTCATAGGGGCTGGATTTCTTACAGTTTGTGGTTGCCTTGCTTCATTTACTTATTTTTCCCAGGATAAAGAAGCCAAGTTGGGGAAGTCAGAGAAGGACGAAGAAGCAAAGGAGGGCTTTGAATCTAAGGGGCAGGAAGACCCCAGAGGGAAAGACGAGGAAGGCCCAGAAGAGGAGGAGTCAGAGACCGACTATTCATCGGCTGATGAGAACATCCTCACCCAAGCAGGTAGACGGTAGGGTGATGCTGTCAGAAACGGGGACAGGAAATGGGGACGTGTTTGCCCTTACTTTGTAGTATTCCCTGGGCCCTTTTACACAGTTCAGTTCAGTCTTCATGCTGAACTCCCTTTTTCTAGTTCTTTCTTCTTGGGATTTTGTTAGGGCTCCTGTCCTCTGCAGGCCGAGTGTACTCTCCTCCTCATCTCCAGCCCCACACAGCTGCTGGCACCTCTCTGACTCAAACTAATTTGGGTGAGAGCTCCCCCATGTCCCACCTCAGATGGATCCAGCCACATAGCGGGTGTTCCATTAAATGTTTCTTGCAGAAATGAGAGCTAAGGCATTGTATTCGAGTGCAGTGGTTGAGAGCCTGGTCTCTGGAATTGCCGTTTGCTGCACGGTGTCCTCGTCTGTGCAGTGAGTCTAACGACAGGGGCTCCCTCAGGTTGTGGTGGATTCAGTGAGGTGCCCACATAAAACAGGGCAGCGTCTAACAGACCGGAAACGCTCAGTAACTCTGAGCCTGATTGTCGGCTATATTCTTCTCATAGATACGCTAAAAGTCAAGGAGCGGAAGAAGAAGAAGAAAGGACAGGTGAGCATGGGCACGGAAACCTGTGTAGAGCTTGTTTTTGCCGCATCAGAGGATTTCAGGCC